AAAAAAAAAAAAAAAAAAAAAAAACTCAGCAGCACTAGCTAATAATCAGACATTATTTTATAAGTAATAACACTACTACTGAAAATCAACCGCACGGCCTAGCTAAGGAGCAGCAACAACCCATGAAACGAAATCAAAAGCCATCAAACGCCATCAAAAGAGGATAAAATACAACAAAGGCAAACGCAAGTACACCCTGGGAGACGACACCCTGCAACCACATGCTCACATACGAATGCAAAAGCAAAAGGGATTGGCAATACACGAACGCAATATAGCTCATTCTAATTGTGGCACTCACTCACAGAAGATCGGGGAGCGAAACCGGACACTCACTCGCAGAAGAAGATCGAGCAGTCTCGACAGTCACTCACAGAAGATCGAGCAGTGGGGGGGGGGGTTGGGGATTGTTACCCCGATTCGTGGAGCTTAGCGGGTGAAGTTGCGGGTTGTTGTTGGCCCTACTAGCCGCGCTCGACCGCGAAACTCCGCCAGGTGGGGGCTGCAGTCGGGGTGGCGTTGGACCCTTCTGCATCGACATGCGTGGCGAGTAGTTCAGATTGCTGCCGTAATCAGTCGTTTGTCTCAGCGCGGTATTGTCTGCCGCCATCCAATTGCCGACGGCATTCATGCCAGGCCTTCCACCTGAGGGCCCCCTACCTCCCTGCATGGCAAATGAGCCGTTGTGGCTCCCATACGCAGGTGGCGGCGGCTGCTGCTGCTGCTGCTGCTGCATCATACCACTGCCCCCATACGCAGGTGGCGGCGGCTGCTGCTGCTGCTGCTGCTGCATCATACCACTGCCCCCATACGCAGGTGGCGGCTGCTGCTGCTGCATCATACCACTGCCAAACCCTGACATGGAATTTCCCAGACCAAAAGACCCGCCAAGGCCAGGACCACCAAGCCCGCTTGCGGACGATGCAGCGCTGGAGGAGGCAGGCCAGGATGCAAACGGATCGTTCGAGTCCATTTGCAGCCTGGGACTCCCCACGTCCCGGCTCACCATAGTGGGACCGGCCATGGGACCGCTGCCTACGCTGCTAGATGTACCTTGCATGGAACCGCCGAAGGTGTCCCATGCCGAAGGAGAAGGAGAGGGTGCTCGGTTCATCGACAAAGCGCTGTTCTGCTGCATACTTCCAGACCTCTGAAGGCTGGATGAAGGGGAAGGCAGCCAATCAAAGTCCCCAAGGCCTGTGGGGTTCGACATAGGGCCTGAGCCCAATGGCTGGGCAGGAGCATTTTGAAGCATTGGTGCCGGCAAAGGTTGGCTTGGCTGTGACCAAACACCTGGTCCTCCTGTCAACAGGTTCGAAGACATGCCTCCTCCTCCTCCTCCTCCTCCTCCTCCTCCTCCTCCTCCTCCTCCTCCAGTAGACGCATATTCAAGAGCAGGCAAACTTGGTTTTGAAGACGATGACCAATCGCTGACATCCCACGCAAGTGTGGTACTCGTAGCAGAAGCAGAAGAGACCCCTGCTGATGCCTTCGGCGCTGTATTGCCATTGGCAATTGGGGGTGCGAACGTGGCCGCCGCCTGTGACGAAGGTTCAGAAACACCGCCCCCCATTGCTCGCTTCTCTTCGACTCTCCTGAAACGACGAGGAACGAGCGAAATTAGCGGAAAGAACAGGCCAACACAGTGGACTGGACACGATTCACGCATAGCGAAAACATCATGCACGCTCTTTCAAGCTTCGACCCCACAGATATTGTCCTTTGGGACATCCGCTACAAATGGAACGATACAGAGAAGTCTGAGAAGAAGATTTTTACGAAAAGCAGATATGAAGATGCATACATACAATTTACATATATACAAAAAAAAAAAAAAAAAAAAAAAAGATGCATACATACAATTTTAATCATTTACATATAGTGAGTAACCGGAAAAGTTACGATAACCAAAGGGTCTTTGTAATAAGCATGGTCC